CCAGGAGGCTGTAAACATCTGCTCCAGGCTCTGGCATTCGCTCCATACTGGCGAGTGCACATGCACCTTGGAGTGGATGGTGGGTGAGGTGCCTGAGGCAGTGCAACCCCAGCCTTTCCCCCGCCGCTGGCACAGAGCTAATGACTGGACACTGTAGCCAGCCTGGGCTCTGGGCAGCTGCAGCAGGCTCCGCAGTCCCGGCATCAGCTCCATGCTGGCAGCAACTGCACGTGCACCTCAGAGCACACATCAGGAGGGCTGTGCTGCCTCAGGCCCTATCCCCACCATCCGCTCCAAGGCGTGCATGCGCCCACCGGTATGGAGCTGATGCCAGAGCCTGGAACAGCCGTTTGCAGCTGGCCCAGGCTCTGGTAGCTGCAGCCAACGACAGAGCCCAGGCTGCTTGCAGCTGACCCTCTCTAGTGGCAAGTCACAGCTATGCAGGTGAAGGACAGTCAGCAGGTTTCTTTGCCTCCTCATGTGACTGTTCCACTAAGCCGAATAACACTAAGCCGCTTAGCATTTGTTCAGCTTACAGTGCAAGGTCTAACAAGGCCCAAAGGCTGGAGTCTTGCTGGCTTTATCACAGCAGATGGAAACAGAAGCTCATTGAAGGGGATATTGCTGCAGTTGCTGTATTTGTGCAACTGACTGCAATCTTGCAGGACTTCATTGTGACTTGACGCTTCAGCTGCTGCTGCAGTCCCCATGCGAGCATATCTTATCCACAGCTTCCGAGTACCTTCTTTGAGGTGATCTGATTTTTGGTCTCAGGTCCTTTGGCCTATTTGACCAGCTGAGACGAGGCCTCCAAAGAATCTCATGCATGTGGATTAGCTCACTGTAATTAGAGTCGTACCTTTTTCCCAGAAGTAGATGCAGTTTTCCAGTTGCCCCCCTAGACCCCGTATAGCTCCATGCCTTGCTTCTGCTGTTGGCCAAAGGATAGGAAAATGATTTGCTAATATTCTTCTGGACAGTTCAATGGAAAGGCTGGGTTTCAGCATACAGCATAGGTTAGAAAAACAAGTATTGTGATGCACAAGGACCAGATTTTAAAGCAGTACTAAGAATACCATGCTTATACACACTAGAAGGGAGAAATAGGCTACAATCAGACCTAGACAGGTTACAAGGGTGGTTGGATGAGAATAGGATGGGATTCAACACTGACAAGTGCAAAGTGATGCACCTGGGGAGGAACAACCAGCACCATACCTACAGGCTGGGGAACTCCCCTCTTGTCAGCACGGAGGCAGAAAAGGATCTTGGAGTCATCACTGACTCCAAGATGAACATGGGCCGGCAGTGTGGGGACGCGGTCAGGAAGGCAACCGCGCCTTGTCATGCATCCACAGATGCATCTCGAGCAGGTCCAAGGAGGTGATCCTCCCCCTCTATGCGGCACTGGTC